TTTATGAAAATCATTTTCATGAATAAGTGAGGGGACGTGGGTTGCCTTCACTCTGGTGCGTGTCATGCCTGGCAGAGAATAAAGAAGAGGTAGATAAGGGAGGGGCACATTTTTTTGCCAATGCTGTGATGCCCAGTGAAGGATAAATCTGGCAGATGCGACAGAGATTTATTCGGTGCAGAGGGGATGGATAAATGAATGTAACCACCTTGATGTAAGCCCCAGCCTTCTCAAGTACATCATCACCCCATTTCTTTACCCCTATGAAGACACATTTGTTGCAAGACTCAGCCAGGCTTTAAATTGAATGAAGGAGGTCACTTTTTAACTGCTCAACTGACAAGTACAAGCTGGTGTCAGTTAAGTCTTTGATTCTTTCTATCACCAGTGTTTTAATAGCCCTTTTAGGACATCAGTCTTGGAATGGCAGCAGAGTACAAACTTTTAGGAAAATTTAAAGAATGCTTGCTTAATATAATACAGATACAGAGGCAGCACCAAGTTTCACGTGTTGAGTCCCTATTCAAGAGGAGCATGTCTGAAGTCACGTTCAAGGCCCTAAACTTTGGGTTTAGACATAAAACCATGTGTTCTTCACTGTTTGAGCAGGTTTGGTGTGCTCAGTCTAGACTTTGATTTGCTGGTGGTTGTTGAACAATCTTATTGTGTCATGCATGTTCTCTTTCTATGCTATGCAGCAACGTCTCTACCTGTTGCAACCTTGATTCTTCTGCTTTGGTCAGAGGGTCTTTTTAAAAGGCCTAACCATTCAGTACTGCACTTCCATAAAGCAGGGGGATAACTTTTACTCCCCAGTATTGGTCAAGATCAGAAAACATTGGATTCTACTATTCAAACTTAACTCTGTCATGTATTAGACACTCCTTGCCAGGTAAATGCTTATATCTTTCAAACACAGCCAGTTTGAAACACAGGTTTTTGTTTAGAATCCATCCATCGTCAACAACTTATCCTGTGTACAGGGTTGCAGGGGGCTGGAGCCAATCCCAGCTGTCATCAGGCGCAAGGCGGGGTACACCCTGGACAGGTCGCCAGTGTTTTTGTTTAGAATTTTAAGTATTATTATTATGGTGTTATTTTAGTCTTTGGAAAACTCCCTCCGGAGCCACAGACGACATTAAACAGCTGTCTCCACAGGCTGAGTAATAATAAATAACAACAATAATAACTTTATTTGTATAGAACTTTTAAATACAGGTAACAAAGTGCTTTCCAGCAATCAATGCAAAACATAGACAAGTCAAACCAAAATCAGTATCACACAGAGTGGTGTACAACAAAGAAAATAAAAAATATGGTCAACAAGTCAATGTGCAAAAAAGGGACAAATAAATTACGCATTACATAGTGGTTTATAATCAATAAAGAAAACATAAACAAGTCAATATACAAATAGTGGAAAAATAAACTTATGAAATCTTTGTTGTATAACTGTGTCTTAAGAAGTGAGATGAAACCAGGAACAGACTCTGCGAGCCTGATCTCCTCTGATAGACTCTTCCAGAGTGTAGGGGCCCTGATGACAAAGGCCTGTCTCCTTTGTTTTTTAGCATAGACCTTGGAATTGTTAGCAACTACCTGCCAGAGTATCTTGGCTCACACAGGGGTAAAAGCTTATAGATATACAGTATGAAGGTGCCAGCTCTTGCCTGGCCTTAAAAGTGATTAGAAGAATTTTAAAATCAATCCTAAAAAAAAACACACCAGCCAGTGCAACAATGCAAAAACTGAGGTGCAATGGTTAAAAGAATTTGCAGCGTGGTAAAAGTCAAGTTGCAGCATTTAGGACTAATTGACCTTTTGCTAAGCCACGCCCCGAATACACTAACTGAGGTCCGACACTTTCATGGCTACGCTCCATTGACTCTAATGTGAAAAGAGTTGTTTTCTTTTCTTTTTTTTATGGCTGTATTTTTCTAAGATCTGGTCAAACGCTGTTCGTGGGGCACTTGTAATAGTTACAGTTGCTACCCAGAGAGGTTGAAAGGAGAAGTACGATTTATTCTCTTTCCAAACTCTAAAATAAATCCAGAAAAATGTCAGCTGTGGATTGTCCCTAATGTAATGTTAGTTAGCTAACGCTAGCTAACTTCCTACTCAATGGAATGTAATAAGTCCCAACTGTTCTGCTTTTTAATGATTGTAATACCAATAATGAATAGTGGCCTACCCAGCTGTACAGGAACAGTGTTGATCTTTAATATCGTTGTCTTTTGTCTCAGTCGTCGGGGATGCGGTGGTTCACTTGTAATGTGTGATCGGTAGGTTTTCACGTCCGTTTGAGTAAGTTTGACAGCCTGAATACAACCTTCAAATGTATAATACAACTGTGTGCTTCTTTCTGAGATCACTTTTTCCAGCGCATTTTACAATATTTCTCCAGGGCGTGCAGTAATAGACAGTAGCAGCACAGGCAGTTTGTCGGACTTAGCAACAGTAACTAAAGGAGGCGGGGTTTAGCGAAGGGTCAATTGCAGGTGATGAAAGGATTTCAGGTATAAATGGAGTTTCAATAGTCGAGATGACACACACACGCTTAACACAACTTTTGCTGTTTTATTTCCTTATCTAATGAAATGTATGAAATTAATTGTCCTTATGGACTTTATATCTAGCTTTGGCAATATTGTTTCTATACATGCCAATAAAGCTAATTTGAATTTGAATTTGAATTTAAAAGCATGGATGAGTTTCTCTTGATCTGTGGCTAAAATAAAATGTTTAACCTTGGCTATATTTCTTAAATGAAAACAACATAACTGAACAACCTGAACAACTTTCATTACATGGGGCCACATAGTACTCCCCATGACGAGTAAACTGATCTTGATGTGCAAAATCAATGGAGTGCCCCTTTAAGTCATGCTCTAATGTGTATATTTGTCTGAGAGATATGTGATTCTGTTGAGTACTGTTAATTAATACTTTTTTGTGAGAGCTGTTTGAGAAGTCAAATATTTGTTTACAACAGTTTCAAGGCAAAGTGTGACACAGAATTACCATGAACTCCTGTAAATTGTGTGCAAAAATCTGTCTCTGTGCAAACAATACGAAACAGCTTAGAAAATGGCTAACAATGTTTTCCACCTAACTGAATTCTGTAATCAAGCTGATACTGTGCTGCTCTGCCAGATCTCAGAAAAAAATAATCTCCCATCTGTTTTCTTCTTGATAATACAGAAGGTATGAAGGGTCCAAAGAAGAAGGACAACAGTGAGGATATGGGTTGTAGGAAGCATGCAGGCGTGTGCTGCCAACAGAGAGATCCCTCCAATGTTAAATAAATTACAGCACAGACTGAACTGTTTGATAATATCAGTCATGACTGAGCAGATAAAAGATTCCCTGGCATTTACAATGTTTTTCCGGAACATGCCAAGAGATCTGTTGAGTAGCTGTCTATATGTTAGTGTGCTGCTGACTGGGTAGAGAGTACAGCTGAGATAAGCTCCATGTGGGAAAACAGTCAGGGCTGAACAAAGCTGTCTCTCAGTTTAATCACTGCTCCTGTGTAGGTTTGAAGGGCAATACATATGGTGAGATAAAGTCTCATGCAGGCAGCATCACCCACAATGTACATGCCCATTCACAAAGGGCCTGGTTAGCCAGGGAGAAGCTATATAATCTTAAGATGATGAAAAGCCCATTAAATGCTTTGAGGTACAGCACATTATGCTTTCCTGATGTTGGTTTAGTAATAGATGTATATTAATTAAAATGTGGCAGTGCACAGGATTGTGTATTTCTGACTGCGTGTGTGGTGCAGGAATGTGTGACAGTGTACACAGGGAAAACTTCTGCTTACATCTTTAACAAGCTATCCATCACAAGGAATTCATTTCAAGGCTGAAATATGAGTTGTGGAGTCTAATGGCATTTTCCAACTGAATTAAAATCAGTTTCCTGAATGACAACAATCCTTTCTCTGATGTGGTTTGAAATCGCGCAACAAAGCTAATCAATTTCCATGTCTGCAATAGCATAAGTAATTTCTTTTGAATATAAATCCAAGAATACAAAGAAATGCAGTAGATGGCTACAATGGGATTCAAAGATGAAAACACGATTTCACGTTCTTTTTTGTCCTTGCTCTGCTTATTATTGTAATTTACATGTTATCATCTTTGATCAGGTTTTTATGTGCATGTAATTGCGTAAAAAATGTATGTATGTGTGTGTGTGTGTGTGTGTGTGTGTGTGTGTGAGCCCGTTTCAGCATGATAGGGCTACATGCTTGTGCCCGTGTTTGTGCTACTACGCGAATCTACAAGAAAGCAGGATATTAAGTCGTTCAAGAAAAAGGTAGATATTCTGAGCCAAGTAATTGAACATAGAAGTTTAGAAGTAAGGAATAGCTATGAACAAAAGTGTCTCAGTAAAGTGTGAGAGAGGAAGTGACACTTTTAAACCTTTGCTGCAATCTGTGCTCCCAAATCACTGTGTCTGGATGAATGTATGTCAGTTTGTCTATATGTGTGTAGGCAGTTGATAGGTACCCTGCCAGTGTTTCTAACTACACATCAGTAGCACTCTGTACCCTCTACTCTGATCCACAACTCTGCCCCCCTCATCCCCACCACCACTCCACCACCATTGTACCCCTCCCCATTAACACACCCTCTGCCTCTAATAGAGTTCACTGCACACCACTTTCCACCTGAACACGCAGTAGAGGAGTGCAGCTAATAGCAGTTGCACAGTTGGAATACATGGGTGTGAGCTTGAGTTAATATATGCCACTAGAGCAGTGTTGGCAGACAAGATTGTGTTATCTGTGGTGCTGTGTATGAGCACAGCCCATCTGTACGGCGACACCCTTCATAATGAACCGAGCTGAGCTGTGACGGCTGTCTCTTAGCCTGTGCTTCAGTCCTGTGCAGCACTGACACCTCTGATGCGTGTACAGTATCGTGTCTCTGTATCATGAACAGTAAAAGAATGTGCCACATTTATATGTCACTCTTTAGGGTTCTTTCAACATGAGTCTGACAAGAGGTTTGAGTGAAATTGGTGGAAATGGTCGTATGGTGCACTTCCCTTTATTTTCCCTCCATTCAGCACTTGAAACATTAAAAGCAGCTGTTTGTAAAACCATACTTATTCCCCTCTTTGATATTGAATGTTCTATGCCCTCTTCTCCTGGTTATATTAAAATGCCATGATATATAAAATGGGTCAGACCTAACCTTTTCCTGCTTCTCTTGTTCTTCAGGGGCGGAGGCCATGTTTTCCCAGCAGCCACAGGACCTGGTGGTGGTGGCAGGCCAGCCTGTGACGTTACCATGCACTATCCCCGGTTACCATGGTGTTGTCCTGTGGATCAAAGATGGCTTGGCGCTGGGAGTTGGCAGAGACCTCTCTGGTAAGGAACAGCATTTATCACCTTGCATTTCTCCATCACCCTCAGTTCCCTCTATTAATTAAGTTCTCCAGTATAATAGCTGCTTTTTGTCATCTAAAGCCTCCACATCAACCTCATACCCTCAAAATATGCCAAATATATAACCCCAGAAACAGATAAAAGAGGTCTCATAATAGTGTGTTACAAAATAAGTATTATATTACAAGTGTTACATAGGAAAACCCAAAATTATATCACTCAATATCAAACAGAATAAAAAAATCACTCTGCCTCTGTGTTAGATGCATACCTAAATCTCTTATCCTATCGCTGGCAGAGAAGCATAAAAATCTGAATGAAATGTGAAATCAATAGTGGCACTGGTCTTCCTCTGGTGCTTCAGGCTGTTAAATGGCTTTTTGAAGAGTAGCTGGCATCCTCTAATTACACTGCACCTCATGTATAATTGCCTTAATTGTTTAATTTGGAGTAAAAACGACTACTGCACTGTCATCTAGTAGCCTGTTGTTCTACCAATCGAGGCTTAATGTATATTTATGACCTTGATGAATTTCAAGGAAACACATCACTCCTCTAAATAAACATTTACCACCTTCTGAAGCGCTGAGATATTGAATGAGAAAACCCATAAAAGCGTAGTGCACCCGCATCATCTTCTGAAATGATCATTAATGTCTTCCAAAACAGAGATCTATTTGAATATGTACACAGCACTCCATACACAGCAGGATGCGCTACTCTATAAGGGCACGGAATTTACCTCACACACCACCTTTGTGTAACCACTGAGAAATAAAAATGATGACATTTCAAAGAGCAGTGACAAAACGTTCAATTGCATCCATTTTCAACACATCAACGTCTCTTATGTTTCAGGAATGATTAAAGATGTATTTCACTTGAGACTGGTGGTCTTCTACCCTCCGACCTTTAGCAAACGCTCAGAGAGGCCTTCCCTGTTGCGAATTGGTCTGTAATTAAACCTCAGTGCCTGACAGAACCCCAGTAAAGCCATCCTATTCCCTCTTCAGGTTCTTATCAGACCCAGGGGAGGATGAGAGGTTGCAGTAAACAATGGTCCTGCAGTCTCTGAGTCTCCTTTGGAGGAAGAGGAGGCAGACAGGGACAGTACTTATGATTGCTGGAAATAGAATGAGAAAGAGAGAGGAAGCAAGAGAGAGTACAATTTTATTTAGGGTCAGAGTGGAGCAGAGATGTAGAGTTTGTTGTATCCTCCTCTATTTTTATTGATTTTAAAAGACAAGACAATCAAGATGAAATCTCATTTCAACAACAGCTGAAGACAGAGGAAGGAATCGAACGGAGAATATAGAGAGAATAGTGGCTCACAACACTCAAGGGAACTTCAGTAGATCAACCTTTAACACACATCACATCTGTGAATAGTCTAACAGTCACAGACGAGATGCAGTTATCCTGACCTTGCCCTCCTCCAACAATATTCTCTTATTATTATTTGGCTGAATAATCAGGCCCGAGATGTAGAGTTGGAGTGATCTTTCTCACTTAAACTGTTTCAAAAATGCACAGGGTTTTGTGTGAGGAGGAATTGCTGTCTGCCTGGAGAAGATAGGTAGAATCAACAGTATGATACAGACAGGGGCTGAGTGCCTTCTATTGAGATGGATGACACTTTTTTTAAATAAAGCGCTCCACAGCTGTCCTTTTTATCACTCCTGCCTACATACACAAGCAGTGCTTGCAGCACTAAAAGAGTAATGGTACATCCACTGCAGGATGTACACAATGAAAGGAAAGTGGCAGCTGTATACATAAAAAGTGCGACGAATCAAATGTTGCATGGAGCATTTCCATAATATAGGTCTGCTCGGCTATTCATGTAAAGGAGCTGCGTCGGCAACGTTGTGCTCCGCCTGGGACCTGTTTCCATTCACAGGAGCAGTGATTAAACTGAGAGAACTCTTTCACTATTCAGAGCAAGAAATTACAGCACAATAGCCAATGATGCATATCTGTCCCTGAATTTCCCATTCATTCCCTTTTGTGTCACGCTTTTCCACCCTAATTAAAGAAAAGTAAAATAGCCCCACAACTGCTCAGAACACACCAATCAATGACATGAATATGCATGCCAGAGAAGGTATCTGCTACGCGTGATGATAGTGGCAACAGACAAAGCAGCTATAAGTGAATTCTCCTGGTGCGCACGCAGTGAAGATGGAGAAGGAGGTGTTTGTTTACATTCCACCATACACTTAGGATATAGGAGAATGAGCTCTTGAGAATAGAGGCTGACAATTAGCAAACCTTCACCAGCAGGCATGTGACACTAACCCCTCAAGAGCAAACTGAACACCAGTCACCTGTTCACATCTGCAGCTAACCTGTTTCTATCCCCTGATGGTTACACTGTTTGAAACATGTTCTAGGTGAATGCTATAAATCATTAGGCCATGCCTCAAATGTCTGTATACTTATATGCACACACTCACATGCACATACACCATTGATTCCAGCCTCAAGACAAATCCATTTCCACCTGATGGATTCATTACTCCTTAATGGGCCTATTTTACATTGTTTGCTTTAGGTGACACATTGTGTCTTTGAAAATCGCTGAGATCTAAGATCAATGGCCCTTTATAGGCACACATCACATGTGCAGAGGTGATCAGTCTTCATGTGTGCCATTATAAGAGTCATACTGACAAAGTGTGTGATCAAGGTGCTGATAACGTGGCAAAAACACTTCACAGCATGTTTTGAAAATGATATTTCAAAATTCTTATCATTTACTGTCCACCACAAATGCAAATTACTTTTCCTTTTGGATCTTGCTAACGCACAGAGAGAAACTGGAACAGAGCCATATTTTCACACAGCAAAAAATATATTGAGTTTGCCAGAGGCACAGATGAGGTAATTGGCCAGATCATCTGTTTGTGTAACATAAATGTACATGGCTTATACCTTGGTGCAATTAGGCATTTTGAAGTCAACTCTGTTTCTGAGCAGGTACAATAACCTCTCGCTATGCGGACCGGAGTCAACTCAAGGTCACATCATTTAGAATGTGCAATGATCATTACCCTTGTGATCCGCAATGGCATTATTGCTTTGAATCTCATCAATGAACATAAAATTGAAGCAAAATGGTTCTCTCGTGACCTTGTGCACATAATGGTGCGTCCTCTATTTTAGACATTATTCTGAGCATGAGAAAGCAGAAGGCTTATTTTCAGTCAATGATTATTAATGCTATTAATAGAAGCTTTTAGTTGTGATCAGGTATCTATTAACCCTGTTACATTTACAACCTGGTCTACTGAAGCCCCGCTATCACTCAGTGTAGGACACACTGTAGCAACTCATGTGAAATTCAAAGAAAGGGGATGTTTTATCGCCTGTGTAACTAGTTTTCCCACAAAACATCCACAGGTAGGCTTGCCACTAATTTTGCCTTCATCTGTTTATCTTGTCCCCAGCTTTAATTTTTAGATTCTGGCGTTCTTTTGTCCTTTGTCCGTCCCCCACCGTATGGATTAAAGGTTACACGTAGGAGGATGAAATGCAAAGGGTGGCTTAATCGGCTGTAACTCACCCCACCAGCATAGTGTGAGGCCCACTCCATGCTCTATTAAAGGCATCTGGATTCAACGAAGCAACAGTCACTAATTGGACTTTGAGCATACAAGGGGGTTTTGCACTAGACAAATGCAAGGATTTAAAAGCTGTTATAAGGCTGGCCAGTTTGTTATGTTCCCTTTGGGTGCTAAAACATATAACCAGCCTGTAAAACATTTACAGTGAAAGACTGAAGTGTTTGCGGATCTTTGAAGTGAACCTGAGTCAATGGTAAGCTGTTACTGAGAAATCAATATTTTTATCCCCAACATTTGTTGGCAACGACCCAGCAGTTGGATGGGCACTGATAGCTGTTTTGGACAGGAAATGACAAGTGTGTGAGTCTAAAGTGTGAAGTTTTCTTTGTCAAAGCTACAAAGTTAGAGTGAGGCTTTGCTAAAAGCCTGGCCTTGTTCTGCTGTAAAATTATTCAATCCTATCCACGAGTTTCATCATTGATCAATTACTTAAGGGCCACTGGAGGAAAAAGCAGTTCTTTGCTGGAAATGCTTCACAGTTTTTCTCAACATTTTTTATGAACAGACATTCTCATTTCATTCTATATAGTGTATCCCTAGTAATTACAAAGATGAAGGGAGGAGAAAAAAGAAAAGGGGTCTTCAGAGACGAGCAACTCCAAAAGCATGCAAATATCCCATAAAGCTTCCCAGTCAAAGACATTCTTCTTCCTGCTTATTTGCCTCGGTGGAGGGATGCACTCCACAACACACTCTCAATGCATTTTGCTATAATTGTTAAGGGGATACCTTTAAAACCATCTCACTTGACTTGTGTAAAATGCCCAGGTCTCTTGGATATTCCTCTGCTTTCTTGCATTATTAAACAATAAATCATTTTACAGAGCAATGCTGAAACAACTCAAACTCTAGCTGTTCCTGTTTACGGTTGCAGTAAAACATCATTCTCCAGAATGCAGCAACCTCCACAGCAGCTCATTAACATTTCCAGGAATGCTATAATGTCATGTTTCAACATTGTATGAAAATGTGAGTAAATTAGCAAATGAACAATCAAAAAAACATACTCACTATAAATCTATAATAGTCTCACCTGCCGCCTATTTCGATCATCTGGTTACTGTTGTTCACTTACAGTTAACACACTCAAGCCAGCATTTTAACATCAACAACATATTTGTTTATGTCTTTACCAATTAAAACCAACAACCTGATAATAACATTCATGTTATAGCTGATGGTGTATACATGTGTGTATTTTTGTTGTAGTATGCAAGTATTCAAAACTATTCAAAATTACCTTCTTGCATTTGGCAAATGAGCAGTATTTTGATTTTGAAGGGGGATTAAAATGAACAAATGTGTTTGCGCTGCAGGCTATCCTCGTTACACAGTGATTGGCGACCACGGTTCAGGAGAGCATCATTTGCGAATCCAGCGTGTCGAGCTGATGGATGACGCTGTGTTTGAGTGCCAGGCTGTCCAGGCTGCCATGAGGTCCCGTCCTGCCCGTCTCACTGTGCTGGGTGAGTCCAAATTAAACACACACTGACTCCAAACAACACCACTGTACTAGCGCCAGCCACCTCCCGACTCCCATCACTGAGCTGCAAAGCGACTCATGGAAAAGGCTTCACTGGCTTCTTACTCTCAGAGAGCTTCTGAGGATTTAACGTCCACAATGACGAAACCCCATCAGCATCACAAAACCAATTTAGCTCATATGTATCATCCCAAATACTCAAACGAAATCTACACTCTTGAGCCTAAACACTGGACAGAAGTACTACCAGAGCTCAAGGGGCCCTAACAAAAGTGGTGCTTCACAACAAAGTAAACAGTATGTGTCCTCGTTCACTTTCCAATTGCAGAGAAAATATAAATATAAATACACACACAAACAGAGGCACTCACATGCAATCTAACATGTTAAAAAAATCTTCATTGAAACCTTAGGACAAAAGATAAATCTTGTATTAAAACCATCAGAAAGGAATTAAATCAATGCTAATGTTTCCCATTTGGCAGAGTGTCAATATGACTGAACTTTTACAGACCCTTACATTTCCACTTTAATTTCCTTCCTCTGCATGCAGCCTCCACTTTCATTATTACTGTAAGCTTGAGAGGTTACTGGTTCTTAATTAAACTTTATTGGGTTATCATTCAGCATTGCCATTTCTGCCTTATTGAGTAGCACTATAGCGCAATCACTGGCTCACGTTGCTTTCTTGGGCCCTTCAAGCTTCCTGCTGCCTCCTGTCTCCTGCTGCCTATCACAACCTCCCTCACCAGAGGATTGCTGGAAAGATAGCTTGAGTCAGTGACAGAGCAAAAGAGAACAATGGAGGAGGAATGAGCATGAAAAAAAGAGTAGAGCGAGAGAGAGTGGGGTGTCTGTCACGCACTGTCCTCGCCACGAGCGACTGATCCGCCTTATTGATCCGGCCTAATGAAAAGTGAAACTAACGATTTGTAGAGGAGAAGGCAGCAGGAGAAAAAGAGAGAGGGAAGACAAATTGCGGCATAACGTTTCTCTGGCTGCCAAGCCCCCTGCAAATGGATATGAGTGAATAATTACAGATACTACAGTGAGCTAAAAATGTCTGTTGCAACTGCACTTGCCTACCGTCTACTGTTGTCCTTCTTTTTCTACCTCAAACCTTTAGCTGCTCTGACATAATGCTTGACTGAAAGAAGAGTCACTGACAATTCAAGATGTGTATCTTTACATCTCATTGGATATGATCAATTCAGCTGTTAAACTACATTTAATTTTTTATTTAATTAATTTCAATTCAATTCAATTTCATTTTAAGCAATAAGCAATATTACCACTAAAATATCCTATTTAATGGCAAATCCTCTTGCCTCCTTAGTATCCTTTCAAGATTTTCCATATGTATGAAACGTCTCGGTATGTAACCTTTGTTCCCCGAGAAGGGGAACGAGAAACTGCGTCGGTGACGACACTATGGGAACGCCCCTGGGCTTGGCAGGGCTGAACTATGAATGAAACTACTCCAATCCTATTGGTGTTACTAGAACGGTAGTGTGTGACGGCGTAACCGGAGGGGGTATACAAGCACGCCGGCACATAGGACACATTAGCCCTTTCTATGAAGCAAGGCACTCCAGGCGGGATGAGGTGTGGTGGACCGACGCAGTGTCTCGTTCCCCTTCGAGGGGAACAAGGGTTCCATACGTAACCCAAGACGTTCCCCTTCGAGGGAACTCGAACTGCGTCGGTGCGACACTATGGGAACGAGATACCCACTTAGGCCGCACTGAAACCCCGCCTGCCCCCAGCGTGCAGAACCTGATGGCACAACTAGGAAGAGAGCGCACGGGTGTCGGGTGCAGAAGGCAGGTCCAGACTGTAAAACCGGATAAAAGTGTGAGAGGTGGCCCAGCCAGCTGCATCACACAAATCCTGGAGTGACGCCCCTGTGAGAAGGGCCCTAGAAGCCGCCATGCCTCGAGTAGAGTGCGCCCTTACGGCCATAGGTGAAGGCAAACTGCGCACCTGATAGGCCAGGGAAATAGTCTTAACGATCCAGTTGCTGATGGTGTGTTTAGAAGCGGGGAGCCCAGCCTTGGGGGACCCGAAACACACCAGCAACTGGTCTGCTTTCCTCCACCGGGAAGACCTCAGAGTGTAAATACTCAGTGCTCTGACAGGGCAGAGCAGATGAAGTCTCCCGTCCTCCGCCATCACATGAGGTGGGGGATGAAACGCCTGCAGCACCGTGGACCCTGCCAGTCTGGCCAGAACCATAGGGACATAACCTGGACAAGGGTGCAGGATGGCCCTGACCCTCCCCGGGGCAAACTCCAGGCATTGGGGAGACACCGAAAGTGCCTGGAGATCCCCCACCCTCCTCAGAGAGGTGATAGCGAGGAGAAAGGTCATCTTAAGGGTCAGGTGATGGCCTCAGCCGACTCCAGGGGTTCGAAGGTTTCGAACCACTGCCAGGTCCCAGGTGGGAACCCTGGAACGAGTCACGGGTCTAATCCTCCGGGCTCCATGGAGGAAGCGCACGACCAGCGGACGCCTCCCCAATGGCCCATCACTCAGAGGGGCGTGGAATGCTGCAATGGCAGCCACATATACTTTGAGCGTGGACGGGGAGAGGCCAGCGGAGAAATGGTGCTGGAGGAACTCCAGTATCACAATTACCGAGCAGGTAACTGGGTCCACCGCCCGTTCTCTGCACCAGGTGGTGAACACATTCTACTTTAGGCCGTACATCCTTCTCGTGGACGGGGCTCTGGAGCTGAGCAGCGTTTCGACTGCTCCTGTCGTCAGACCCGCCTCTAAGAACTGCACCCCCTCAGGGGCCAGACCCATAGCTGCCACAGGGCGGGGTGCGGGTGAAAGATCCGGCCCTCCGCCTGGGACAGCAGGTCTCTCCTCAGAGGGACCTGCCAGGGCGGGCCCTCGAGGGGCGATATTAAATCCGAGAACCATACTCGTGCCGGCCAAAACGGGGCTACTAGTAGTAGGCAGACGCCGTCCTGGCGGACCTGCTCCAGAACCCCCAGGAGCAGAGCGACTGGGGGAAACGCATACAGACACAGCCTCGGCCACATCTGTACCATGGCATCCAGCCCTAGCGGGGCTGGGGGTACTAGGGAGAACCTCAGGGGACAGTGTGCCGTCTCTCGGGACGCAAACAAGTCCACGTCTATGGGGCCGAACTCTTCGCATAATAACTCCACCACCTCGGGGTGGAGTCTCCATTCCCCGGGCCTCAACCCCTGTCTCGACAGCAGGTCTGCTCCTTGATTCTGGGTCCCAGTGATGTACATCGCTCTGAGGGACAGCAGTCTCTCCTGGGACCACAGGAGGATCCGATGTGCCAGTTTGCATAATGGGCGCGAGCGCAGACCCCCCTGATGATTCAAATAGGCCACCACCGCCGTATTGTCGGTCCTGACAAGGACGTGGCGACCGTGGAGAGCGGGCAGAAAACTCATAAGAGCCCTGAAAACCGCCAACATTTCCAGGCAATTTATGTGCCAAGAGAAATGATGCTCCTCCCAGGAGCCTCTCGCGAAGCGGTCGTCCATGACCGCGCCACATCCCGTGAGTGAGGCGTCTGTTGAAATAATTGTTCGGCGACAGATTGCTCCCAACACAGGACCTTGGGACAGGAACCAAGGCTTCCTCCATACAGACAGGGAACGAAGGCATCCGCTCGTAACCCGTATCAGACGGAGCGGATTTCCCCTCGAGGAGAATCCCTTGGATTTTAGCCACCACTGCAGGGCTCTCATGTGCAGTAGTCCGGAAGGTATTATACTGGACGCTGCTGCCAGAAGACCCAACACCCTCTGAAAGTGTTTTACAGTGATGGCGCGGCCTAACTGCACTCTGGTCACTGAGGATAAAATGGACTCGATGCGTGCAGAAGTCCCACACCACCTCTAGGAACGCAGTCCGTTGGGCAGGTGTCAGCACGCTCTTCTTCGCGTTGAGCTGATGATGGCTGGGATGGTAAGCATCCTGAACCTGAATCTCCTCAGAGATTGGTTCAGGGACCGCAAATCCAAAATCGGACGCAATCCTCCGTCCTTCTTGGGGACCAGGAAGTATCGGCTTTAAAAGCCGGCTTCTCTGACTAGCAGGGAAATTAATTCTATGGCCCCTTTCTTCAGCAGAGAGCGGACTTCCTGTCCCAACACCTGGCTCTGTTCTGCGTGTACTGTAGTCCCGACCATCCCGCAGAATCTGGGGGGGCGAACCAGGAACTGCAGCCTGTAGCCATCTACTACTGCCCCTCGGGGCTGGTGGCCGTGTCCCGCGGGAATCCCCAGTGGCGCCCTGAGGCGGAGGACCGCCAGGGAAGGCTTGCCGGTGAACCACGGTTTGTGAGCCCAGTCGTGTTCCGGATGTTGCCCCTCGGGGCGGACAGATCGGCGAGGGCCTGCCGGCGGCTAGCGCGTCCCGAGCGCTGAAGCGGTGGGAGAAACAACGCCTGTTGCTGGAGCCACCATGAGAGAGGGGACCTCGATCGGCCTCTCTCAGGGGAAGGGGGGCAGGGAGGGGGAGAAGGCGGGGGGTGGTGGTGGGTCCCCCTACTCAAGGTCTCAGGACCTCTTCCCCCGGGCCCACCGAGACTGAATGACGGTCCTCAGATCCGTCTTCCCGGGGGGCTGTGATGCCTGCAAGACAGCCATCGTATGTAGGCTGGCACCAGCTCGACCCGCTGCCATGTAGGCCTTGCCCACCAAATCTGACGTCATCCGAAACGGTTTGGTGGGAGCGCCGGCGTCCGGAGGGATGAGGCGAGGTTGGGAGAGAGGTAGCTAGCCAGTGCCTCCTCCACTCGTGGCATCGCTCCGTAGCCGTGCTGTCTGATTCCTGTAACGTTGCCGTAGTCCAGCCGTCTAGTTTCATCTAGTTTGCTGCCTGCCGATGGCTGCTGCACCGCCTGTGGCCAATCAATGTGCAGCTTGGCCACGGCCCGCGTCACCACTTCCAACAACTCCTCGTATCCTGGCGTGCTTATATACCCCCTCC